TCTCCCACACTATTAAAACTAGCTTTCAACTGATATTTTGCATGAATCTATAGAAATTGTCATTATCTAAAACATTTTATAAGCGCCTATAAGTAATTGTGCTTAAGACATCAACATTTCTGAGTTTTAGTAAAAAAGTACTCGATTATATATTTACAATATTATTGTTTAATCGATTGTGACTAACAAACTTTTTGAGCACAAACTACAAAATATTCAACAAGATCCAAATCCTTCCCCAAAAACACAACAAGATTCAATCTCTGAAGGTTACATCTGAATTCATTATAGACCAACACTTATCATAGCATCTCTTATAGCTGTTCCAAAATGGCTAAACTTGATAACCTATCTATGTCCTAACCACGCGATTCCATCGATCGATTATTCAAATCGTGCCAGTATCCACGTAGGCTATTGTTATAGTAAATTGAAAACCACGAAGCTCCTAACTGCAGTATTCAGATTAACAATATAAGTTGTTTACGATAACCCGAGTCCCCTTTGAAAGTAAGTGATGCGGCCCCCTATTATGTCAGGTGACAGGCAAAAGGCGGGTTGTTGGTTAAAGTCAATGAGTATTTTGTCTTGCATTTCAAAAGTTATAGGGTTTAGACCATTGTTTAATAAAACAGCAGCAACTTAGACCATACTGCAAACATTTTAAAATGCAATATTCAACGTGCTCGATTTTGCTCTTTCCTAAGTAAAAATGAATATTATTAATATCTTCTCGCATTATTAATTTCAAACCTATTTTTGGCTACACGCCTTTCTAAGACTAACTTGAAAATGTTTATCTCTATGTCTGATACTATAGATACGAAAAACTCTTTGTTCTTGTTCATGTTGTTAACCGAAATTCAATAAAAAACATTTGCACCGAACATAGCACTAATCGTTGCAAAATGCACTTAATGCCAATCACGTACAATTGAAATCCGCTACACGAACAGATGCCCCATAATAGGAAAACCCATGTTATGTCCTTTAATATGTCAATGCATGAAATTGGCTAATCAAAAGCTGACAGTAATCTAACTGTCCGAGGACAATGTCCCATGTGGTCACCCCACAAAGCACGCGCCGGCTTAGCTCGGCACTCGTAATTAGGAGTAGACAATCGGGTTTGTGAGCCGAAAGCGTGGACACCCTAATTTGGTGCCCTAGTTGGCTTAATCTTGTCAGTTCTTTGAAGTTATTTTAGTGTGTATTCTGTACAGTGTTGCTTTAAACTCGGAAAATTGTTGTTTGTGTTTTTTTATTGTAGCTCACGACCAAATACTAAAATACTACTCTATTTTAAACATAACATAACATCACGCCTTTTATCCCCGAAGGGGTAGGTAGAGGTGCACGCACCCACTTTTCACTATTATGTTATGAGTCCCATGTAATAGGGGGTGAGCCTATTGCCATATAGCGGGTACATTTCCAGACACCGTGCTACTATTGAGATATTTTTTTAAAACCCAGTAATACTTTGCCCGACCCGGGAATCGAACCCGAGACCTCTTGCCCGGGAGTCGCACTTGCGACCACACGGCCAACGAGGCAGTCTATTTTAAACTGTATTTTTAATCGTTCTAAGTGTCATTTTATAAAGGATTTACAGTAACAACACTATTCTTGAGAGCGTCTTAACATTTAATGGTGTTTGGGTATTCGACCATAAAACTGTTAGATTTGTTTTGTATTTCTCTGTAATTGTGGGAATGACAGTAGATCTATGCTACTGTCATCAACTCCTATGCAAGAAATTGAACTGTATCTATCAATTATGTAGGCCATTAAAACTAAATTACTTTATCTAGTCTAGAGCAACGAGCGTATAGAACCGTTGTTTTCAATCAGAACGAATAAATGAATTTACTTACTTACTTTTTTGTCTAGTTTTGTAGTCAATTTCATTTGAAATTTTTAAGTTAAGCTACAGTAACTTACTTATAAACTGATCATTGTACACGTTATAAGAATAAACGTAAATAAATAAAGTTTCCTATAGAACTCATTTCCCTAAAAAAGTGCTGATTCTAATAATACTAAGACTTTGTGAGTTTTCTAGAACGTACTCCTCGAAGGATCCTACTCACTTGCTTCAAGTCAGAGGCAAAAGCCAAGGCGAATGTCGAGTACATTCGTATTCAAAACCAGTTTTTTGTTCCACGAAAAATTGAATTTGCAGACTTACGTTATTTCAAGGAAAAATACGGAAAATTTTCGAAAAGAATTTTCGCAAAAGCTATCTTTGAAAACGTTTTTAGTTTTCTCGACATCAAAAATAACACGAAACTTCTTTGTGGAACGCGAAACAGATGGAAATCGTTTTAAGTTGAAGCCGAGCATATGCGGAAAATATTTTGCGTTAAACACTATTTGAATAATACACAGTGTACTTTATGCAAGACTTTCTGCTAAAATTAAAAGTAAGTTTTATTTGATTGCATTGAAATTTTGCATTGAAAAATAAGTGAAATACTGTAAGTTGGTTGGCTACTGCGGAGATCACGTCTAGACAAATGCAGTCTGAGATGTTCTCCACGTAGGTGAAGTTGATAGATGACTTGCCTCTTTCGTCGGGTCTCTAGATTTTGGGTGTGATGAATAAAGTAAAAATATAATTTCGATTTCATAAAACAATGAATTCTATAAATAAATTAGACATCTATGACAAGGATTGACCGCAAAAAGCTTTACATAGAGAGGAGTGAATAGAGAGTAGGGAGGCTTGTACCCTGCAGTGGGACGATCATGGCTGAAAAAAAAGTGAATAAGAGTGTGAAAACAGAACCAAAGTAGCAAACAACACTGTTTCACTCATTTTTCATTATTAAATTGACCCTATCTCTTTAAAAATAAGCAATGATTAGCAACTTAACAAGGACAAAATAAGAAACTAAGTCAAATTACGCAAGTCACTGACCGAACAATCCCAGATCAAGAAATAACGAAAAACAAACAAATAGAAAACAATGTTTTAACAAGAAAGCAGAAAACAGAATGAGTATTCAAAACGTCACAACAAATTCGTCTTACTAAACTTAAAGTGGGCAATTAACCTTTTGGAAACATCGAGTCATTTAAACAAGTAATGAAAACATCCTCCCCAATGAATGGGTAGAGATTTTTTTGTTAATTAACATTTGATTTTCGGAAAACGTTTTAATTAGGTTAGCTTCCGAATTTTGTTTAAATGTAGTAAAGTTTATTTTTGGAGTATCTGCTTTTGTTAAAACGATTCACATTGTTTCATCACGTGTTTTATTTTCTGAAGAAGGTAAGCTGAGGTGGATTGAGGTGATATAACTTAGTGAACTTTTTATCAGGTATATTACCAAATGTTTTTGGAAACAAACAGATAAAACCTTCACTCAGTTACCTTATTACCAACACAGTACACCAGATTAAAACTAAACACGAAATACAAGTCTTTCTAACTAGAACCCTGTTTTAACTGATCAATACTGTAGAGAAGGCTATCTAGATCTCGCAGTACTTTTATACAGCAATAAAGAGACAATTGTTTCTGTTTTAAACGTTGAAGGCTTGCTTTCTATTGGACTTTAAAATGAAGAATGTGAAGGCTTTAGCAATAGTATTTTAAGGGGGCTAATAGCTGGTATAGGTTAGAGGTTCTATGAAGCAATAGGGCAACAATGCTGTATAGATGTAAGTAGTTAAGCTCTGTTGGTATGTTTCTACAAATAGTAATCGTTTTGTGTTTGTGTGAATAGCATAAAGATGGTGTATATGTATGATACAAATAGTACCTATTATTATTACAAAAGAATGGAACAGAATAATATGAAATATTAGGATAGTAATCTTCAGAAACTTTTTTTTATTGGAGAATGTTTATAATGTGACGCTTTGTGTTACTTGTAATTTGGAAACTAATATAAATCATAGTGGTAAAGCTACAGGTTCCAACTTATTTGAACTAGAACCCGGTTCTAAATGAGGAGGATTATGCTAAAACAATTTCAAATTGAACCAGTAACAATCTCAAACCACGTCTTCAGCTGTCATGTTCATCACAACAAAGCAACGAGACGAGTAATCCTTATTTTAGAAAAAACAAAAAAATATTTTCAGCATACTCACAAAGTTACATGACAAATTTTAATGGTTTTATAACAGACTTTAACTGTCAAGTATCGATTCGACTCCGTAAATAGGCTAAAAATATTTGCATGAAAAAGCTCTTAGCTTTGTCGAGTTAGTAAACAAAATGCCTTTGGATGAAGACAATATTTATGAGCCCAAGTTTTGTGAACGTATTTACTAAGCTAGTAGATTTTGTTAAGCCTAGATAATCGGGATTGAATAAATAGAACTAGTGATATTTTATAGGGAATATTTTATGAAACTAAATTCATATTATTTGTTGTTTCACAAGAGAAACGAAAGACGTAGAAAAAAGTAACAAGGGATTTTCCGAACTTTAAATTACACCTTCACAATAACGGTAAAAATTTGGCAATATTAATATCCCAATATTGAAATACTTGTACACATCAAAGCCTCCATAATCAAAATCAAATCATTCAAAAATAGCCTTTCAATACTCGAATACAAAATGAACAAACGACTATAAAATGGCCATAGCTAATCTATTCGTATTATTTATTATTCATTCACATTTACTGGGTCTAAATTTGAATGGTTTTGTTGTAAAACATCGTTTTGAACAAGCTACTATAACAATTATTCGTAGGCTCGGTCGTAGAGTGGGACTTGACATTTTGTTTCTATTGTGTTCGTCTATTTCCAGTTCTATTCTCATTCAAGTACTTTGTGGTTCACCGTTGTAGATATATCTTATTTTGTTTTGATTGCGCTCTTGTTCCAATTCCTGTTAAGTGGTATAGAAATTTCATAAGTGGCTGATTTCATTTACTAAAACATTAATTGTTTTACAAACGTCGTGATTTCTATGTTGAGCAATAAATCGTTTGTTTGTTTGTTGTTTGTTCAATGCTATTTTCTTTTTGTTACAGATATATGATACGTCAGAAAACACGCGCCCGAAGAAATGGTCATCGAAGCTGAAGTTGAACACATCAGGAAGCTCCAAGACATCAGAAAAATCTCCAGAAAGCCCGTACATGTACGGAACTATCAGTGGGCCAGGAGGTTCAGCGCTATCTAAATCAATGAAGTATGCTGAGACCTGGCTTTACGGGTCCGTAAGGACCCAAACCCCACCTATACGACCTAGCGTCTTCTCTGCTTACCCAGAAGTCTCTGGTCCTGTCCTTATAAGCACGCCTCAAAAACCTACACCACACAACTATGCTGTCATACTATGTTCCTGTCCTGAGTACCTGAATGGTACAAAGAAAACCAGCTCAACCAAAGTCAGTATTTGTAAGAAATGCAAGGGATCTCGTTTGCCATTAACTATAGCTGATAGCCCGCAGTTGTTGGTCGGGGGCACGGTTAGAGGTCCTCAAGTCAGTCGTGACTCGGGGTTGCTGAGAGCTGGGACAGTAAGAGTACAAGGTTCAAAATCACGGCCAACAATACTTAAGTCTAATGGAGATACCGATCCGTATGATTTGATGAGAAGAAACAGATTGGCACCTCCACATGAAGCTCGTATAGGAAGCCAGTTTTCAACAACGCGGTTGAGGGCTAAAAGTATAAGCCCTTGCAGAGTGAAAACTAAAAAACCGACCAGCCCAGAGACACTTCGTAAGAATCGAAGTAAGTCTGTTAGTCGTGTTAATGAGCTATGGGTTGAAGAAGATGCCAACACAAGTACAGACTCTAAGAAGTCAATATTGTCTTGTGACATCAATCCTTATGACTTGGTGAAATCAAATGGTACTTCCAAATCATTAGTAGAAATTGAATTTGACGATGATTTTGGACACGTTTTCCAGGAATCTATGAAAAATAAAAACTTGAACTCTTCGGGCAAGTCTAAATCAGATTCCAATGTGAAAGCCATTGGTGGTCAAAGAATAAGAATCTCTGACGCGTCGAAATCAAGTAAAATAGATGACGCTTCAGTATATGATCCCGTTGATTATGATCTCAAATCCTATGAATTAAAATCTCAAGACGCATCCCCGACTTTGTCATTGCCAAATATTAAAAATGAAAATAAGAAATCAGTGTCTATCAATAAGAGTTCGAGTAAGAAAATATTAAGTATCCCTACATCAAACCGTGCGAAACAAAAAAGTGTCTCCCCGAAGCGACCACCGAGGCGAATGAGAAATATAAAAACTGACGATGACAGCGAGAGTGACACTCAAAGATTGTCAGAAAGAACTTCAAGCCGAAAACTTGACAGCTACTCACGTAATTCTAAACTTAAGAATCATAATACAGATACTATAAAATCTATTCTGAAAAAGCCAAGAAATTATGATTCCAATGAATCGACTCCAAAATTGGAAACATCGAATGAGCTTGAGAATAAAAGAGTAAATTCGTCTTTGTTTTATCTTCCGAAACCTAAAGATAAGGTGGCTATTAATCCCCAAAATATACTGAGTAGAAAGCGTGTCCAATTCCTCGTTCAAAAAGAAGAAACAAAAGAAATCTACACTGCTGAACTTAACCTTGACCCTGTTATTCCGAAAGAAGTTCCCGCCGAAGTTTTAAGTTCTAGTATTGATACTGAAGAAGACGTGATAGCTGAAGGAGACATTGTTAGCCATAGTTTGGACGAATCTTGTGAAAAGTTGACAGAGTTGATAACTCAAACTGTAACAACAAATGGCAATGATGAGAAGTTTGAAAATGTACAGCTGCAGAATAATACAATTGATACCACAGTCGAAGACACTAGCGAGATGCTTAAAATTACTGCATCTATACCTGAAGCTACCAGTGTTGAGGTAGTTAATAATGTCGATAAAGAAGGTAATAAATTAAACATTGTTAAAGTAAATGTAAGTAATTTATTTGCTGATGTTAAAGTTTATTCTTTGTTTCCAGATAACAACATTCCCAGAATACCTGCACTACGTCGATCAGAATCCGAACGTATCCCATCGACCATATCAATAGATCCACCAAAGTTCTTAGATACGATGGCATTGCGACCTAGAAGTAAACACGGGCACACAAGCCAAGTGTTTTTAACATCAGTAGTAGAAAACGAAGTTTGCAGCACAAATCAATACGTCTTTAGTCAACCAGAGGCAAATGAAGAAGTTGTTATGCCAACGCTGAACAATCACTACAATGATAACATTGATACTGGAAATCTCAGCGATAGCAGTGAAATAACAAGAACGATTTTGACTAACTTACGTCGTGGAATATCTGAATCGCCTGAACCGCCACCACGGCTCAAGTCAAAGGAACGAACTAAATCTAAGAAGCATAACTATGTTAAAACACGTTTTGTTCGTAACAACTCCTCAAGCTCCACCAGCGACGAATGGTCAGATGCTAACGATTACGAACAAAAAACTATTTTACGTGTAAAACAATTCGATTCTGACACGGATGAACCAAAAACTGCTTCTGGCATACTACGATCATCAGAAAATGAACCCAGAAAGACATCCATTCAAATAAATGGAAACGAATGCTACTCAACTATGAATGTGAGCAGTGATACACCCATATATTTATCTTCTGTTGTTGTCAATGATGAGTATGGAAATACGTGCAATACCTACCAAACTGGAACCACCGTTACTATTAGTGTTGGAACTCCACAAAATGAAGTAAAGAAATCAAAAAGTCAAATATACATAGGTGCCGTACTTTCCCAACAACCTGAAAAGAATGTAGAAGCAAACACGTATGAAGAATATTACGCTGATAAAAATAAAGATGGCTCATATAGTTCTAGAGATCAGAATACATCAAATGATCTATCTTCAATTCTTAACGACCCCGTCGAAGCTGTTCGGAGAAATTTGATTCCACACGTATGTGGCAAAAAAGATGATAAAAATTATTCTGATTGCCAACAAACAATTGAACCCAATAATGGTAATTTCGTCACAAAACTTTTTGATGATCCTTTCTTTGCTCATCTTGCCGAAGGTTTGGATTCAGATCTGGTTAAAAAATTAATAGAGAACTCTTTAATAAAACTCCAAGAAACTAAGAACTCAGAAGGGACAGACAGCAGTGAAATGACTATAGAAAAGCTTATAGAAAGTTCACTAAAGAATTTGAAAGAAGAGAGTGCTAAGGAAGGAGAAAAGAAAGAGGAAGTGAAACCAAAGAATGAGAATAGTGCCAAAGACGATGCGTCGAATAAACAAAATATGATCGACTCTTCCGTCTGCCAAGAGAATGAAGATAATAGCTGCTCTGCTCCCTATGAAAGTATGGAGTACGAGAGCGGTGCTATGGGAGTTTTTTCTGATCTCGAGCCAATGTCTGACTGCTATAATGCTTCAGCGAGTGAGTTGTCTACTGAAGACGATACGAATTCAACGAGATCGAAATTTTATCAAATGTTGGTCGATGCCGCGTTGTGTGATATAGAAATATCCAATAATACCGACGATGACCATCATTACGAATCGATTCGTTTGAACAGTGATCCCATATACGAAGAGATTGGAGATATGCCACCGCCACTGCCTGTAAATCCGCCTCCAAATTCTCTAATGATACTTGATGATGAGAAACGAAGTGGATCACGTTCAATATTTGAAGGAGCATCGAAGTATGATATTTTATCTTACTTGGTGGATGCTAAAGAGAGAGGTATTGATGATGAAGAAACATACATAACTAGTTACGCTACTCATAATGAATCTTCGAATATGCTCGAAGAATCAAAAGACAAAACAAATAATAGTGAAATAATTGACACACATCTAAGTAGCAACACAAGTCAGTTATCTAACGCATCAGATTCAAGTGAAGATAATTCGCTTATCATCAATCATGAGACGTTAGAAAAAGCCCTCGTGTGCAAGAAAACGTCAGCAGAAATAGAAAGAAACGATTCTGGTGTTGGTTCGGAGACGAGTAAGTCTTCAAGAAGTAGACTTCAAGGTAAAACGTCTCCATGCAATATTATAAGTGACAAAGATACGCCTATACATCTTTGTGAAGATTGTGATAGTGCCGTGGAAACGCAAATAACAGAACAAGGTAAGTAAAGGTCTAATAATCACACAAATTAATATTCTTTATGTATAATGTCCCTAATATTAATTGTAATGTTTCAGGTGCAATATACGCTCCCTTAGTGTGCCGAAAATGTGCTAAGAAAAGAGCAGAGAGAAAAGAAATTATCACAGAAATAGTTGAAACTGAAGAAAAGTATGGCAGAGATTTACAAATCATTCTTGAAGAGTTTTACAAACCAATGTTGGTGGCTGGTTTGCTCAATCAAGAACAACTTAGTGCTATCTTTTTAAATGTTGAAGAGCTGATTGAGAACAACCAGGTCCTTTCGGAGAAGTTAAGAGATGGACTTGAAATAGCAATTGAACAAGGCGATGAGGTACGCTCAAATATTTATTTAATAGCTATTGTGAATTGCATTACCAGTACAAAATTATCAAATTTACAATTTAAGACAATCTAATGAATATTTATTCAACTTTTCCAGGATCTCTTGACTGTGAACGTTGGAAAAATCCTGCTGGAGTGTTCAGGCATGCTAACAGCGTTCCAGTCTTATTGCGTTAAGCAAGCTGGTGCTGCCCTTCTGCTGGCTGGTCTTGAGAAGGAGAAGGAACTTCTGAGGATATTCTTGCGCGTCTCGCAGATGGAAAACGCCGTTTTGAGGAGAATGAATCTAAACTCATTTCTCATGGTAAAATAACGTCCTACTTGACTATTTATTTCCTATACCCGGTTGTATAATTTTTTCAACATAATATATGTTTATAACATGTAACATAACATAATGTATGTCTTTTAAAAATTCCAGGTGCCAGTACAACGCGTGACAAAATATCCCCTCCTTCTCTCCCGGCTGTATCGCGCCACAGCCGCGTGCGCCACCGAAAGAGAAGACGTGAAGTCTGCTCAACGCTGCGTGGAATGCAGACTCGAAGAAATCAACGCAGCTGCCGCGGCCGCAGCTGCTGCAGCGAGAGACGTACCTCTTTGGAGACGACTTGCAGCTGCACGAAGAACTGCGCATGATTTGCATGTGGCCGATATTAAGTTGAGGAAAATGGCCGTCGATGTTCTGGATTGGAATCATGATGACGCCAGGTGGGTGGCATGTCTCATAATAGACTACTTAGTTCAAGAAAAGACAACGCAGCGATCTTAGATTATATCTGCGTCTAAACAAATAATACTTAGTGATATTGAGAAATGACTTTTTTATCCAAAAACTTCGTCCATCACACGATGTCATTACGATGTTGAGATTACGCGTCCATATTTTATGATATTTAAATTGCCCACCGTTTTCTTGAACTGCCACTTACATTACGTAACAATGAAAGCATCTAGAAATGTTTTAGCCAATGTCAAATATTTCTAGGGAAATCTTTTTCATAAAGATAAACATTAGCCTTAGCTCTTTGTATAATTGGAGATGTTTCGCGAAATTGTAGCCTTGGCACATTCACGGCTACTGGTGGATGGTACAAATGATTCCATTACAGATCCATTGCGGGACGCAGTTTCTTTACGGTGGTCTAGTTTAGAGACGTAAATAGTATTAATTTTAATAAGATTCTTTGAAATAATATTGAACCAAGTTTTTATTACTTATTTATAGACAAATTCCAATAATGTTAACATTTTTAAGTAAGGTATTAGGTATATTTATGTGTCTATAGAGTGTTTTAAAGTTTCTGGTGAAAGCCTAACTGATCATAACATAAGCAGCATTACCAGGTTTTGATGACAATATCCAAATGGCACTGTTAAATATAAAAATTGCACATCCCATTAGTATTAAGCATAGCGTTGCCTCTTATTACTTGTACCATAAAGTTGATAATCGTTGCTTTAGTGGCACTAACAGCGACAAGTGCTATTCAAAAGGGCTTTTTACGACATAAGACTTTCACAAATACATGTAATTATAAGTGTAAAATGTTTAAAACACATTTTTAAGTGGATTAGGAAAACTGTACGTAGAGGAATAATTGTAATAACCCATTGACTAGACGTTCGATAGACTTTCATATATTCTTTAATGGCCTATTATCAATTTATTGGTGCTCGTGCATGTTTTAAGTTTTTAAACCAAGGATACACTATAGGACAAATGTCCCATGACATGTATCGGCGATATGTCAAGTAATGCCGATTTCGCCCGACATATTATAAGGCTACAAACCGCGCCTTATGTCCACAGTGACGTTGATGTTGCCAGACATGTTGACCAAAGTCCGGCAACGTCGCGCTACTTCACCCAACGTTGCTGGCATAGCGTATCCTTGGCTTTAAGACTTGTAAGCAATAATAAAATGCTATTTTAAATCAATATTTTCTAATTACTATATTTGAACAGCTAGACTAAGAAAGTGACAACGTTTATTTGTATCATGATTGCTTGTTACATTTTACTTTGTCAAATTCAATTTCCTCTCAAAATGAACGATGTGATTTCCCTTCAATGTATGTATAACAAAAAAGCAATTAACGTTTTCGGTATAAATATCCATCATTTATGTATGCTAGGGATGTTTACCAGTATAAAATCCCGGGAATCTACGAAAAAAATGTTCCCGGAAAACTGAATATGACATCGCCAAAATGAATTAAGCTTAATCTTGTTGGTGTTCATTTTCTACGAAATATACCTCTATGTTAATTAAAGAGTTATGACGCTCCAAATATAAAAATGAAGACAAGTACAAAATCTTTGAGAGATTTTCAAGAAACAGAATTAAAATTATGAAAAGTTATTGCACAGGTTTTGATGCAGGCGTATCATACATACAAGGTGTAGTTTTGAAGCCGTATCATTCCTCGGGGGCATGTCACAGAAGTCATAAAGGATCAATGTAAGAGAAAAATTCGGGCCAATAGTTAAAAATACGGCTATAATAAATCGTTTAAGTTCGACAGTATTTCAGAATAAGCGACAGCAATGTTTCTTATTGGAGTTTTATGGAATTAGGAATAATATCAATTACGTGTTTGAGTTTGTGTGTGTTAAGCCGCGTTATATTTCCGCGGATTTCCATAATTTCAGAAAAATGAAAAATAACAGAATCGATAGCCGAGTTACCTCCTAGAAAATGACGCGGTTTTAAAACAACACCTTGTATATTTTGACATAAAATATAATCACATACTTTTTGAATTGAGATTTTGCTCTGTACATAGTTCAGTAAATAATGTTCCGGGAACTAGCATTAATTAATGTCGCGAATCCAAGAATTAACCAAATCAATTATCACAATCCGTAGTTCGCTTTAAAAGGAAAAATATTTATTGCCCACGTCAGTCCGATTTTGTAGTAAAATATGTTTAATATTATTAATTCGTTTATAATACGGTTGCTTAAGAACTGCCAACATTGATTGCACGCACGACTTTGTATAGGGTGTCGCATTTGAATCTCAGATCAAGCATAAAGTACTCCGTAGATTTAGTGGTGATGAATTCGGTATTCGAATTCGGTTGCACCATGATTGTGTTCAGTCCAGCAAAAGGTTCCTTCAACACAACCATAATATCAACAGCCTATAAGTGACCACTGCTGAAAGGCCTCTTCTAACACGGAGAAGGTTTGAGCATTAATCACCGAGGTTATTCAATGCCGATTGGCAATTTTAAACTCATAATTAGAAATTATAAGCTTAGGTTTCCTCACGATGATTTTCTTTACCGTTTGTCATTGGTATCTAGATAATCTTAGAAAGTACATATAACTCGGAAAATTGACATTGGTACTTAGGTATCAAGGTACTTTAGGTACTTAGGCTTACTAGGAAGGCGAAAGGTTACTTCGCTATTCAATATTTAAACATCAATGGAAATTATAGTAAAAAGTAAAAGCCATGTTTACTTCTACCTAGCCCTTTAGAATAAAGCCACCATTTCGTACTTTTATACTAACGTGTTTTTAAAATAGGTTTCAATATAGAAATCACGTAAATTCATTGTAGAGGTTTATTGAGAAACACTTTCAGGTTTCAGGCGTCATTAGAATTCACTTATAGTAAAGCTGCCGTTGTTGCAATTTTGTTGCGCATAACTTGGAAACTGCTGAACGTTATTTAATAGTTCTTATATTGTAATTGATAATGTAGCTAACATAGAAAATACTTAATAGTAATTAGGACCAGTCGTAAAAATCTATATTAATATCTATTGGTTTAGTCGTGAGTATTCCTATGTCAGCTAAAAATCTATTGATCTCACGAAAATTACAAAGTAGTGATTAGAAAAACCCTTCATTTCAATTTTCTCAAAATAATTTAAATCTATAACTTTAGGAAGCAGTTAGCAAAAGTCTATGTAAAACGGTTTTTTGACATCTTTCTGAAATCACATGGTAGCGTTTACCCTATCAATTATAGATATATCTATAAAAATTTAGACACTTTTACTAAATACTCCAACCTTCAATACAAATTAACTCCAAACCCAGTTAATGAAAACTAATTAAAATTAGACAAGTGCCGAGTTATCCTATTTAGCAAGCAATATTCTCGAGTGGAATTAATGTTTTAGCTCGCGTAGAATTTATCACAACTGTGGAACATGAAACGCTGTGTAGTGACGTCATATGCCATAATACATTGCAGTGTTGCCAACAGCGAATTATACTCGAGATGAAATTATTTTAGATGTCGCTTTCTGTCGCTGTAATAGGTCTAGAAGCGGGACGAGGTTTAAAGAATCATTGTTGTTAAGTTTGTTAGAGTTTAAAGTCATAAGCGACAAATGAGTTAAATATACTAAAAGGTGGAAAAATTTTAAATTCAAATACGGATCTTTTTTCAAAGCAATCGGTTATTTAACATGTAACGTTATAATATTTTGTGTAAAACAGTACGGGTTCTCAAAAAATTTTCCTACTCTATACAATCTTTAACAAGACGAAATATGCACGCACCTATAACTAACCAAGTCAGTCTGAAATGACTCGAAGCCCAATCGACCTTATTCCACCAAATTGACATACCTTACCGACAAATAAAACGATAAAAATCCTAACTACATTGGTAATCAATAATGGACTTTCTGCTCTTGTTGATAAGGTTCGCAATGGAGGGTAAGCTGCTGTTCACCCAGCCCAACGACAACAACTGGCGGAAAGGTCGCACCATCAAGTTGACGCCAATCAACGCTCTTTTGGTAACTAACGGGAAGGTGAGTTCTGTTCTGCTGATTTTTTATTTTCTCTGTAGTAGTTGGTACAAGTCGAACATGGTACTTAAAGTGCTGCGTGTGTATGGGTGTGACTTTTGCGATAGTTTCAGTTGTAAACTTAGCACTTCCATTGAAAAAGTACCATTTTATTTTTAGTTACTTAAATGTTGTTTCAAATCTCAGATTTACTAGAAAGTTTTCGATATTAAAATCTGTTTAAGATTACATCTCTTAATGCCGATTCTATAACAGTAATGTTAAATCCAAAGATTTCGTGGTTAATAGTAGTTGAGCAATATTAATAAAACACAATTATATTTCATTTGCAGCCAACGATCACTCACAAAACGAACGAGATCCGAGAGACACGGGAGGCAAGAGATAGAGAAGCGAGGGAGAAAGAGGGAGAAGCTTTGTTTGCGCGCAGTGGAGTAAGAGAAGCAGCTCTCCTGCTGGTGAGGGAAAAGGCAGGAAGATATACATTGCAGAGAGAGCCACTATTCTTGGACAGATGCGTGGTCGCCGCAGACCATGAACCCGAACATTTCTTCGAAGTACACGAGATCACTACTAAGGATTCTTATATTTTTAAGGTGAGACATATAATATATTATTTGGTCAAGTATAAATATTTTATATAACATAATTCTATATTGCACTGACTGACTGCACGGTTGGTGCGGTGGCTGGGCAACCGGCTGCCGTGCAACGTGTCGCGGGTTCGATTCCCGCACGGAACAACACTTTGTGTGATCCACAAATTGTTGTTTCGGGTATGGGTGTCATTGTGTATGTGAACTTGTATTTTTGTAAACGCACCCACGACACAGGAGAAAATCCTAATGTGGGGCAAAGTTTAAAAAAAAAATTCAGCTTGGCAGGAGTCACAAAGTTCAATAGAAGAGTTGTTATTACCTAAGCATGTTATACGCCCACATTTGAGTGACCATTTTAGAAAATCATAATATAGCACTTTGACGGTTATTCAGACGACGGTTTATTTATGCTTAACCTTCTTTAAGGTTTATTATATCAGTGAATCCACCAAGTGTGTTTTCTTCTGGAACCGTAGGTCTAATATGTTTAACGACTGTCAAACACCAAGCGGTCACCGGTGACCGCAACCTATTGTTCTATATTTGTGTCTATAATGACGGTACTCGACGAGTTAAGCTGTGTATGATTTGTTATCATAAAGTTGTTGAAAGCCAGTTTGACCGCTGCCATAATTTACCTAAGTCCTATTCTGCAAGCACCAATGTAATAAAAAAAAATACTATAACAATTATAAAAACTCAAATTATTTGATTACAGGCGGAAGAAAATTCACGCACGCGCACTTGGTACCGCCAACTGCAGTATCACGCGCAAGGCGCTGGCGCATGGCGCAAGCGAAGGAACGCGCTCGCAAACATCATGATCAACCCTATGCTGACTAGGAATTGATGGTCAAAATGTACTGTTGTGGTTTGACACGTGAGAGGGGTACATGAAATGATAAGCGATTAGTGATGCGGTCAAGATTGAAATTATTTGATTTGATTTGATTTAATAAAAATTACTTTCTTTCATCAAGATAAAGTCTATCATTTATTTGACTGAAATATAAGAATTTCAAACTTATTTGTGGTTATATATTGTTCAAATTAAGGAATGTGCAAAAAATATCATATGAATACTTCGATCGTGCAACATCACTAAAACTATGTTTGATGTCTGTGAAAATCGTTTAAAAAGTGAAAGTGGTGCCCTCTGCTTGTTAGTATTGGCTTGAGACTGTCATACATGAGTGCTGTGGTATTTTTTGAAATGTATTTTAAAGACGAAGGGTTGTTAAAATATTATTTTTAAATAAAGAAAGAACAATGAAATGCGTGCATTTTGATTAAACTTAATTATTTTTTAATAGATTTATCATTAAATACATTCCCGATTTTTGTTTTGGTTTTCTTTTAATTAATTGTAAATATCCAAGAACAGTTTGCCACTAGTTTTTAAAGTTAGCTTTACACCAAAATTTAGACGATTTAACATTTTATGTGCCCTATAATGAAATGTATTAACAAAACCATACAATATAAGAAGTACTGTATATAATTTAATTTTAATAGCTGTGATATTCTGTCGAAAAAAAAATAGAAAAATCCTAATAAAAAAAATGCTTTGTTCAACATCAAAACCTTGTAATTATTATATTTTTAACATTAACAAATTGTTCAAAAATAATAATATTAATTATTAATAACATTAATTACTTCCTGACTAGTCTTAAGGGAAATCGTGTGTAATATTAAATATTTATAAGATAAAAATATACATATTAAATTGTATTTATTGTATGTAATTGTAATATTAGTGACTAGATGTAGAATTGCTAAAAAATAAATAGTTTTAGACAAATTTGTTTCGCCTTGGGAATATATTGTATCTGTTATATTATTAGAGAAGACAGGAAATAAATAAATTAATAAAATAATTCGTGATTTTTATTGAACATCATGTTTAAATATTGCAATTTTATTTGGTTAAAAAATATTCATGACTATAGAATAAAATACAGGATGTAACCGGAATGCTTCGAAAAAACGAAGACTGGTGATAGTAAAAAACGAGTTTCATTAAAAAAAAAAAGGAAGGAATGTAATGTTTCTTTTATGCAATTAAGGCTTTAAGCAATTGCTCAATGTTAAAATTGCGTAAAATCGTAAGGTCTGACTGCGCGACAACAATATGTTTGACAAACACCGGATAGCAGCATTCTCTCTAAACCAAACCCAAGTTGGTGAGTTAGGCTGCGATGCAGATGATGCAGAGGAATCCGAACATAGCCCAAAAGTAGATAGTTACGAATAGTCAACATAACATAAAATCACGCCTTTTATCCCTGAAGGGGTAGGCAGAGGTGCACATTATTCCACTGTACAATATAACACCCACTTTTCACTATTTATGTTATGAGTCTCATGTAATAGGGGGTGAGCCTATTGCCATATGCCACCGGGCTCTATTCCACACTCCGTGCTACTAATGAGAATTCAGTAACACTTGCCCGACCCGGGAATCGAACTCGAGACCCCTTGCCCGACAGTCGTACTTGCGACCACTCGGCCAACGAGGCAGTTACGAATACTCATCAAGATAAAATCCGGCATTCATTTAAAAGACGTGTTATTCTAAAAAATGTTACAAGCAAAACTAAACCTTATTTTCAAATGACAGATATATCAAAATCTAATTTCGGAAATGAAAACGCAATGTATTTATAGGTAAACACAATATCAGGTCTGAAATGAAAGTTCCACACTAAATGTGATACGACACAGAGGCTCATTTCCTGAGCTTGAAGCAAATAACGATATAATTATAACATATTTCACGTTGGTAGAGACTTTTATATGTGACGATTTTTCATAAGGAAATTCGTGGTTTCAAAAGATCTTTCAGTTCATTATTTAAATTACATTTAATATACTAGATAACAGATAACATCACGCCTTTTTTTCCCGAAGGGGTTGACAAAGGTGCACATTATACCACTGTACAATGTAACACCCATTTTTCACTATTTATGTTATGAGTCCCATGTAATAGGGGGTAAGCCTATTGTCATATACCGAGCACAATTCCAGATTCCGTGCTACTACTGAAAGAATTTCAAAAACCCAGTAATACTTTGCCAGACTTGGGAATTGAACCCGAGACCCCTTGCCCGGCAGTCGCACTTATGACCACTCGGCGAACGAGGCATTCTAAATACTACGGCAGTCTAAAAACGAGCAGTTAAAATACTGGAAATGATAATTTACAATCCTATTATTCTTATTTCTAATATAAATGCGAAAGGGTGTTTATTTGTTCGTCTTTCGACAACAGTCAGGTCGCAACAGAGCGATATTATTTTTTATATTTGATGGGCTGACGTTTGGCCACCATCTCGCCTGGTGGTAACCGATGATGTGGCCTACAATCTCGGGCCATGAAGAGATACTCAGGTTCCTTCAGGAAACAAAGACACTGGCAAAGAATTTCACTCCTTAGCAGTACGTACAAAAAAGCTTGATGCGAAGCGCTTTGTGCTTATGGGTGGGTCATCCACCATAAATCCGTGACGCTTCGCCGATTGTCGTATGGAACGATGATAGAAAGGGCTAAAGATTTATTTATAGGTTAGTAGGCATGATTGTTGTTTCTGGAGATATGTTAAGTTAGGACATAAAGTGCCTAATACACGATAACTGCATTTTCCTTTTTAAACGAAAACAAAGTGCAGCGCGAGTTACTTTCAGACTACAATCAGGTTCATTGTTTTTATTTTGCTTAATACCAATTTTAGCTTGTTCGAAATGAATAGATAAATCAATGGTCAGGGTTGATATTACCACTCGACAAATTAGGTCAAAGTTTATAATAATCGACAACAATCAAGACAATACATTATCATTTTTGTATACACTTAAATCAACTATAACACCTAAATTAACAATCAAGTGTGGGAGAGCCATGCTTGGCACGAATAGGCCGGCTCGACCGGAGTGATACTTACTACGGCCTCACAAAAAATCGACGAGAAACAGCGCTTGCGTTGTGTTTCGTCCTGTGAGTGAGGTTACCAGAGGCCCAATAACCCTAGTCCCCGTCTCCCGAATCTCCGACTCCTCCACAATCCTCAAATTCCCAATTCCCAAAAAGCCGGTAACGCACTTGTAACGCCTTGGTGTTTCGAGTGTCCATAGGCGGCGCCGATTGCTTACCATCAGGTGATCGGTTTGCTATTTTACAGGCTAATGCTATAGAAAATGGGCTCGCTGCCATCGCAGCGGTAAGTCCCCTCTTTGAGGAGTGGCTTGAGAGACGCTACGGCGTCCTCACCTACTGCCTGACGCAGGTCCTCATCGGACATGGAAGTTTCGGGAGGTACCTGTGTCTGATGGGGCGGGAGGAAACGCCCGGGTGTCATCACTGCGAGGACCGCCCTGAGGACACGGTGGAACACACGGTGGGAGAATGCCCTGCGTGGGCTGAGCACCGCCGTGCCCTCAGGGAAGTGATCGGCGATGGCGACCTCTCGCGTCCGGGCCTAGTGCAGGCCATGATGCGGAGCGAGGGGGATTGGGATGCCGTCTCCTCCTTTTGCGAAGCAGTCATGCTAGCTAAGGAGGAGGCGGGACGCGTGAGGCAGCGAAGCGCTGCCTCCTCGCAACCCAGCCATCGCGAAGGACACACCGGGCGTCGGGGATCGCGGGACGATCTCCGGCCACCGTAAGCGCGGGCCTGCGGACGGTGAGCATGGGTGGCTCCCCGTCCGACCAGAAACAGACCCGAGCATGCGGCACGTCGCGTTCCGCGCGCGCCTCAAAGAGCCATCAGACCGCCACAGATGGGGGCCAATAGGGCCGATGCCGATTCGGAGTCGCGGAGAACCTAACGGGTAACCGGGGCTCCGGCTCGACGTGCAGGAGAAGGAACGGGGTGGTTTTTAGTCAGTAAGAGTCTGACACTCCCTCCCGCCTCACCCAGGCGGGAGCAGTCATTTGATGATTTTCCCCTCTTAAAAAAAATGCTATAGAAAAACTAACATAATAATGTCGTTTATCTAAAAACGCAAACTGTACCGTGTCGTACGCGTCCCGTGACATCTAAATGTCACATTTATTTCATGTGCACGTTTCTACCAATGTTACTGTATGTGATGAACGCAGAATGTGTTGACGTTGTTATTATTAATATCTGAGACAGACACACAAAGCAATAACGATCAGATCACTTTCATTAATATTATGATTATGCGTCGATTTGAAGTCGAGTTTTTGGGTAAGAATTGTTCCCAGCGGTTTTATGGAGGTGATAAAAGAAAGATTGATACGGATTTTATCGGTTCCGGCTTAACTCGTCGAGTACCGGTTTTGTAGACACAATTATAGAACAATAGGTTGCGGTCACCGGTGACCGCTTGGTGTTTGACAGTTTAATATTGTAAGCTAAACTTCTTTTGCGCTGCGACGCACTATGGGCTTTTTTTCGGTGTTTCTAAATTCTTATTGTGTGTCGTAGCAAAATAAATGGTTTTTCTTTTCTTTCTTCTTTCTTTCTTTCTTTCTTTCTAGTCTGTTAGAATATTTCTTGTCAGCAGCTGTAGCCAAATGCCATATAGCGCTTGTCTACATGTAGAATAGAAAACCAAATTATATGGAATTGACGTAAATTTTGATACTTGTCAGTGTCATCCCCATACATTTTTATTTCTACTCTCTCTGTAGACAAGCGCTAAAGTGGTATTTGGCTAAAGGCACTGATTGGTTAAGTACTGGTTTCGTCTAAAAAATATTGATTATAATAATATTCACTTTAAATTAATTGCTTTTGTTAATGTGATCTTTAATGCTTATAAACTGTTACAAACTATACCCAATAACCAATTTTATACTTTTTAGGAGGTTTTATTTAAATACCTTAAATTTCACGATCAGGTATTAGATATTTTTATAGGATTTGCTTGTAAATGAGCAGACGGATTACCTCAGCAATCGGCACCGCATACGGACATCTGAAACACCAGAGGCGTTAGAAGTCCAGAGGCCTTTTGGGAATGGGAATTTGAGGATGATACCCTACCATTTCATTTGGGGATTGAAGAGACTGGTGAGAGGGGTAATTGGGCCTCCGGTAACCACACTCGCGCGACAAAAGACAACGTCAAAGGTCAAAGATTAGGTCAAAGCTGCAAAGCATACTTTAAGATTTTTGCTTATAATCAGGTTATATAGAATACATGAGTTTCTTTAACAAAGAAGTATCTATTCGAAATATTCTTCATATCTTTCTTCCAGTTGTCTAAAGGAGTTGAACTGATTGTTCAACCTGAATGTATTTCTGCTGTTATCCCTTCTTGAAAGGTGATGCCGATATGCTTCAAGGATGGTCTATGATACCGTCCAAGTTATCTTAAAATAGTACCTATTACTCCGAACTGTCATATAATAATATTTGACAATTGAACAACGAAAGAAAAGAAAACAATGTAAAACTTTTAAACAGCATCCATTAGAAAAAAAGACGAAACGTCAACAAGCGATATTTATAGAACGAAAAATATGTTTAACCAATTACGAGGGATCCTTGCGAGATGCTTCAAGTCTCCAAGCGTGTGAATTACTAACTAACTCCA